TTTCCTGCAGCCAAAGCTCACCGAAGCTACTAACTTGATAAGCGACAAATTGATAGCCGCCACTTGAACTCTTTAAAGCACGCCTCTTCAAGCATGTACGATTAGCATGAAACGGCTAACCGACACACAAATAGCGCATTATCAACACGTGCAGCACTCGCAAGAACCAGTTGCGGGCGCAGTTGGCACAGGGTAGATGTGAGCGCGTATTCGTATCGTCGGCCGCTGCTGAAAATGTAGACAAACGGTGCTGATGTCGTTGCTACTATTGGTATTGTTCTTTTCGATATCGTTTTGCAGTTCTTACTATTTCTTTTAATGTCATTAGCTGGTATTTTACTGTTACTGTTGTTTCAGCTGCTGTTGTACTATCTCCAGTGTCGTTGTTGCTCGTTTCAATTATGTTGCTTACGCTGTGCTTGTCGCTGTTGTTATATTTCGGAAGTATTTTACATTGTTCCTGTTGCTTTTAATGCTTCTGCTGATAATGTTGGACTGCTGCTGTTGCAGGTTTTGTCGTTATTGTTACGGCTGTTAGTGTTCTTGGTCTTACTACTGAAGAGTGGTGTTGTGGGTACTACAGTGCTGCTGTTGTAGTTGGTTAGTTGTAGGATAAGAATACGTTTCCCGCCCGTACACTATAGTTACGTCTGCTCTTTTTAGCAATTTAATAGACTCGTACGATTCCTTTTTCCTGTTTAATTCTGATTTCATTAATTGAAAAGGCTTTCCCAGTGCTGATGGCTCATTCGTACTACTATCGCATGGATTGATCGGTGCTGTTGAGATTTTTTCTCGAAGCACAGCAAGCTGGAATTACAGAGTACATGAGGTAATGACTACACACGAGATATTCGATTTGGTCACGTTTCAACACACTCCAAAATGCATGCCATAGTGATAAAAACTGTAAAAAAATCTAAAATGACATGTACAATACGGATTTCAACAGAAATTTGTAGCACTGTATTCGCCAGCACTTGGCATGCGGTCTTCTAACGGGAACATTTAATGCAACACCTCCAACTGCATTGTTCGATGTGCTGCAAATACACTTACCGTAAAATTATGGCGGCTTGAAAAGTGAAGCTATTAGTGAGTGTGCGCAAGATTAGATGTACACTTTTAGCCCGTAATTATTTGTGTGTCTGTGTGCGTGTCTATAAAAACGCGGTTAGCTGTACCCCGCACGTACTAAATACAGTATAGCCTGTCCCTTACCATCGCTGTATAGGCATATCCGAAGTCACTCTTTGGCTTGGTCACTGTCGTTACGCACGCACGTGCTTGGCAAAAAATCGATCTCATGTGAATATCATCGCACAGGCAAATGCTGGAAGCTCATAAGCAAAGGCTGACCGCTTAGCTTGAGTATACTGTAACAGGTAAATGTGTTCATTCAAAGCATATTCATTCTTCATTTACCGCTGAATTATAGTGTAATGCTACTTGATTCATTTCTTTAAACTAAACTTCTCATAAAAAGGGTGAGCTACAGATCTTGCTCTCCTTTCTTTTGTGGGGCTCCTAAATGTTTAGGTCCTGCACACCCGCTAAATTCGACTGTTTTTCTTTACGGCAACCAGCTTGCTCCTTTTTGCACGTTGCAAATGTGTCTTGGCATAATGTAATGCCGAAGAGATTGCGTAGCATAAATCTACTCGGTTACGGTTAACATCCGCGTGATCGAATTCTAGGGCTCATCTGTCTTAGAAAGTTAGATGAATCAGCGTGTTGCGCGCGAACGATGAATGTAATAGGTCAATCCTTCGTTGTAGCACAATGTCGGTATATGACACCACACAATAACTAGATTACACTAAGACGCGGTATTCTTTTATCTGTAATATGGGGCTAAATTCAATTCTCCTACGCTATTAAATTATTTCAAAAATGATTTTTTTTTAAATTAATTCTTGACATTTTTTTTATCTTCTAATAATTTAGGCGCTTTTAGTTTCGTGATTAAATTTTTTTCTCTTTCTTTTCTACAATCTTCGCATTGACCAGAGCTCAATACTAAGGCTTTGTTGGTAGAAGCGACCAATAATTAATATGGAGTGTGATGGCTTGCTTGGCGTCAAGAAAAGAGTTCTGGGGTTGAAGAGGTAGTGATGTTTACTGTTGCGGATAATTTTGCAGGATGTCTGTACAAAATCAGTCAGCGTATTCAGTGACATCTGCCTGGAGACAAACTTTGTGTTGTAAACGTCACCTGACAGCTTATGCGCGCGTCAAACTGAAGAGTGGAAGGTTTATAGGGTACCATAAGTGGTAATTGTTGTGACTCTTACGCAATGAATTGTTGGGAAGTTTTAAAACACCACTCTTATTTGAAATAAGGGATCCATTAATCACCCCTCAATATTTCAAGTTTAAATTCTCATTTTTATAAAACACTACATGATTGGCTGATTAATCGACATGCCTTAAAAGTATTATATCACTATCACCGGTTTTGAACATCCATCCGACCCAATTTATAATAGCTCGCAATCGTTCTTATGTGTTCGTTGGATACAAGATTCTGTCAAGCTATTTTGAACGTTTGCGGGTTCATAGCTGTTACATCCACAGTTGCTCTCAATCGATTATTATATATTTTAGGGTCGACACCCCAGTTTGCAGCGAGAGATCCCAATCACGCTTTTGTGCGAAGATTTCTGCGCTAGTGAGTGGTAAGGATGCTACTTTATTTTTTTATATTATTTAATGCGTATTCGGATCGTTCTTGTCGCGTGCTCGTGGTGCGTATTATAATATTTTTTTCTTTTTATTACTAAAAACTTCCTTTTTCTGTGATGTTTGAAATCTGTTAATGTGCAATGTAGGTCCGCATAAACGCACACAGGAAGACATTAAGCTGGTTGTGCACAGGGAGCTTTTGACAAACGAGTAATGCGTAGCTAAATTGGATGCTCCTGTTTTTTAAAGAAGTCCAGGCACTGCAACAAGTAAAATACTACAAAACAATAAATCAGATGCTGGTGCTGCCAATGAAGCCGAGGAATCTGCTTGCTCGTGTAAGCGATAGTCTATTTTAGTCATAAACGAGTAATTTTGCCTACAATGTTGATATGCTCGAACCGAGGAACTCAGTTAAAGTTTTAGTAATCGATCATTAGTTCTTAAAAATTTTGCAGGTGTTGGTTTTGGTTCGTTTAAACCCTTCCACATTGCATGGCATTGTCTACCCACACTGATGTGGTAAAGTGGTCAAAGGAAATCCTGACCAATCGCCTTTATCACCTCGTAAGTGTATGTAGGACCGGTCGTAATGGTCTTGGGACTGACCGCTACAGAAATCCCCAACGATAAGCAGGACGGTTTGCAAGTCATCAGTGGCGGTCACCGATTATGACCACCGGTTAGGGTCACGACGAATGACTGACCGGTCATGGTCACTATGGGCGACCAGTGGTCACGGTCACGATGGGTGACCAGTGGTCATGGTCACGATGGGTGGCCAGTGGCACGGTCACGATGGGTGACCAGTGGTCACGGTCACGATGGGTGACCAGCGGTCATGCTGGCAGTTAAGGTGGTTTGTTTCAAGCACAGGGAATGGGTGGTGGCAGGCGAACAACGTAACATAAAACTGAGATAATAGAAGTGTGAACGTAGTTCCAGCCCTAACAGGTTAATAACGAACAGTATAATCCTACAAAAGACACGCGTCAGCATTCCTCCGGGCTGTAATACTAGTGGCCACCCGACTTACAAGGTTTACTGTCTGCGTGTTTGCTCAAGGTTTGTCCCTAGATTGCTTGGCTAGGGGCAAGTATACTCATTCAAGTTAGCCCGCGATCGGACGCGGCAAGCATACAAGGCAAGGTCTTCAGACGGCTCAAGTGATCAGAAGGACAAGGTGATCAAGTGGTCAGAAGAACAAGGGGGATCAAGTATCCACATTTGGGCAAGGCGACATCAAGGAAGGTCAGGCAACTCTAGGAGAGTGCCACCAGTAACCGTTGGTCGTGTGAAGAATTACCACGCGACCACACCCCACCTATCCTCAGCTCGGTCAAGACAAGACATCGATCTCAAGACACCTAGAAGAGTGCAACCGCCCGCCGACGGGTACACAAGGTGAGAAGGAACAAGACAAGACACGACACACGGTCCGGAGTACCCCCTCCGTTAGTCGGTCGTCCGTGCGCAGGTAGGGAGTCAGGATTGCTGCGTAAATGAGCGAATCCCACTCCACCACAATGGTGCGCGTGCCCGGATCTTCTGGTGCCTCGGGATTTCATTGTGAATCCTAGAGCGAAGATGTCAAGGTCAAGATTGAATCGGGGATGGAAGTGTCGGCGATGAAGAGATCGTCGCAGACACGTGATTATAAAGGATCCTCGGTTCGGCAGAGTTTGGGAGGGGCTCGAACGAATCGAAATTTAAAGAGGAAAATCGCCAAAATGATTTCAAAGAAGAAAAAACTCTTTTCCCTCTGAGGTCCCTTCGGGGACCACCGCGGATCGTACTGCAAAGTACGACCCGCTAGAAGAAACACGTCCAGCCAAAGCAGGACACGTTTCGTCTAAAAAAAAAACCATACACAAAGAAAAAGAAAAGAATCGAAGGCTACGGCTCCCCAGCTACACGCGCCTGACTCCGAGGGTGATGATCAAGAAATAAGCAGGGCAGCAGAGGTCAAGTTGGAAGGTTGGAAAATGGATCAGCTGCAACGTCGTTTGCACTGGACCCAGCTTCAAGCGTTGCTATCTACGGATTCAGTGCTGACCATCTTGGAACCGGAGCTGATCGGAACGCTTCGGGGACCGACACCGACTCTACAAACATCCACTGGTAAAATGGAAGCAGTGCAACGTCTCATTCAACTGCTACAAGGCGCAAGATTTGTGCCGGGGGCGTTTGACGCGCAGGTTCTGCTTGACTGCGACCTGGTTTAAGTGATCACGGCAAACCGATAACTGTTCAAAGCGCTGGTCTAACTGACCGGCAACTATGACTCCGCTGACCGCGAGCTCACGACCAGTATCATGGTCAAAGAGGAAGACTGTTCACCAGCGGCGTCGTCGCATTACGCTTCGGCGGAGTCGATTGCGGACGATAGCGACGGCTTGGAAATAAAGCGAATGTCGTTAGGACCTTCCGGTGCAGCAGTTTACGTGACCGCCACGAGCATCCGACTCCAGCCACCGGACCGTTTAGACTAACGACAGAGCCAGTTGGTGCTACGGATGAGCCCGACCAGATGTAAACTTCTTTGCAGAGGCCATGGAAAATTTCATGCGAGACCAACAGCGACGGCTGCCACATTCTGAGCCGACCAGTAGCCCCAACCCCAACCACAAGGTGTTCGGGGTAGGTACGCCAGACACGGACATGTAATCGGCTGACTCGCATGGTAGTCACGGTAACGCCTTTGACCCTGACGACCTCGACATTGACGGCGCCCGTCGACCTCACTTGGCTACTACGGAAGCCATTAAGGGAGAAGGATTTGCTGCGTAGCGGATTCGCATGTATGCGATCGCCGATCTACAGGAGTTCTCAGGATGACCGCGCTCGACGCTGGGTGCGAAAGGTCAAATCAGCTTTCTTGCGTGACCAAGCCCCCGATTCGGAGAAATGTCTGGCTTTTAAAGATTTGCTAACAGGCCCAGCACGAAACTGGTACTCCCAGCTAAGCCGATCGACACGCAATAAGTGATAAGACTTGCTGGAGAGTTTTCAACTACAATACTGTGGACGCGGCATCTCTGCTGGTCGCCAGTATTACCACGCCTGCAAACGTGCCGATGAAACTCCGCTAGAATACCTCTATCGGTTGAACGTTGCTGGGATGAGAGCGAAAATCTACGTGAAGGACGGGAACGTCGCTGGCCGCCGAGAACACGTGGAACACTATTTCGAGACGCTGCGTTTGGACGACGTGGATACGCTTAAGTTTACGCTGCACACATATGAACGTATGCAAAAGAGCAAAGGCAATCTCCCGATCAGTTCAGGAAAGTTCCGCTCACGATTAGCGTCGCCATACTCTCCGAGTCCATCCAAACCGGCCCGAGCTGTGCGTGCAATCCACGTGGGGGGCGAGAGCAGTTCGTCGGAATCATATATAAGCAGTGCGGAATCAGACGACGAACAACGACGTGTTTACAGCGCCAGAGCAGCCTACCATATGAAGGACCGGGGAAATGATCGTCCGACCAAGCCAAGATCGAACGACCGTGAACGTGATCACGAGCGTGCAGAAGGGCACAAGTCGTGCACTCATTGTGGGTCCAAAAGACATGATGAAAGGGGATGCTGGAAGCGACTGACTTGTCAGAAATGCGGGCGCCGAGGTCACCCCTTCGACAAGTGTTTCTACGGATGCGCAGCGTGTGGAGAAGTGCACGACGGGGCAACTGCCCGATGAAAAAGTTTCACAATGTACTTCGCAAGTGGTACGTGCCGACCAAACACGCCTGAATGCTTCACCCGACGCTGAGAAGATGTTAAACTAGGACGCTCGCCAGGTTGGAACCTGGTACGAGCCGAACATTCTAGGCTATGCACATGTGCATTCATTGAGAAAGGAGGGCTTGATAGCAGTGTTAATTGCCTGACCCGGCCGATATTCCAGTAGATGTGATTTGGACTCTAGTTCTTTTCCATCAAATGCAAGATTTCGGCGACCGGATGAATACGCATGATTACCTACAAAGATGGATTCCAAGTTGTTTCCTCGTGAATCACGTAGTTACTGGAATAACCATACTCCAAACAAGTGGTTCAGGCAAGCCAAGGCGAACGTAAAAATCAACAATGAGAAGGCCAAACTATTGTTTGACTCGGGAGCTGAAGTCTCAATCATCGACACCACCTTTGCTCGTAAGGTTGGATGTGTCATAGATGAGAGTCAGAAGCAAGAATGCGTGGGTATCGGAGAAAATGTGTACATGGCAGAAGGCCGCACAAAGGTGAAGATCACGCTGAATGGCTCATTGGTGTACTACTTTGATGTATGGGTGGGTAACCAAGTGGGAAAAGAAGCAATTTTAGGGATGGACTTCATGATACCGGCTGGAATACGCCTTGACCTGGCAGACGGAACAGTGTGCTTGCCGGACGAAGTCAGAATTCAAATGGACGGTACAAGATCACCTTATGGGGCGAAGATACAACGAATTGCGGCGGATGAGAAGTATTTGGCGATACCGGTGGGTGACTCAGGGGAGATAAATGTTGGTCGGGTTACAATGCAGTAGAAATTGTGGTTAACGCGCCACGCCTTTGGGTACCCACGGCTATGACCGGACCCGGAAGACTTACGTACCTCCGCCTAACCAACCTAACCGATCAAGAGGTGATTCTCAAACAGGGGACGCCGTTCGGGAAATGGATGCCGGCGTACATGACCCCACGGTCACCCGGGTATGTGTCGGTAGGGTCACGTTGTTATCAGGAGTGGCAAACACTTGCATACGAAGCTTCTACAGATGTAGATGAAGCAGAAGAAGTAACGGAAGCAGAAGGATCGTTGGTCGAACGCCATTCTTACCCAACACCTACACAGATTCTAAAACGACCCCCACTGGATATGGTAGAGATGATTACGGGGAGAGAGGAAGCGGAATGGGAAAACTATGTGCTGACATGTGACCAGGTAATGACCAGGAGGATCAAGAAGGACCACAACCAGAACGATCACTAGTAGCCATTAACACAATCACCACACGTGATACGGGTTGTGATTCAGTACTTGATCGGCAGACACAAAAGAATGAACCCCATAGAGAAATGTCTACGCGATCACCAACGTCCGCCAACTTGGTCGACCCTCTTGGACTGATAAATGATACGACGTTGGTGCACGAGCAGTCCGAAATGCACCCACACGAGTGTGAAGAGAAGCTCACTCCCGAATCGATCAAGGACATGATACCTGATCGTAAGCAAAACAAGTCCCCTGATTCCCCAGATAGAACTTTTGTTAAGGATGAGGAGGTGTACCGACCGCCCGACCATCTGGGAGACCAAGAAGAAGCGGTCGCCGACGCAGGAGAACAGGAGTGCACGTCATACCAACGCTCAGGTGGAACATTATTCGCGGAAGATGTTGGCCAACACATGGCAGTCTTATCGGAGGTGGACACGACGCTATGCGAGGTAAGGATTGAGGATGTACAGGTGGGCGAATTGGGAGTTCCATTGACGAAAGAGCAAGAATAATTACGACAGCTGATCTGGAAGAAAAGACAGATGTTGATGGGCAAGGAAAAAGCCCTTCCACCTGCGGCTCGAGGCGTCATATTTGACATAGACGTGGGAGGGGCGACCCCAATAGCACAACGAGTGAGGCCTGTCGCCCCAAAGTTCCGTAAAAATTTGGCGGGCCTGATCAAAGGGTTACTATCGGCGAATATTTTATGTCCATCAACCTCGCCGTGGGCATCGCCGATCGTAGTGATCGTAAAAAAGAATGGGGTAGATGTACGACTATGTATAGATCACCGACGAGTCAATCAATTGACGAGGCTGACGGTATATCCCATGCCCTTGATCAACGACCTACTGCAGGACCTGGACAAAGCGCTATGGTACAGTTCATTGGATATGGCCAGCGGATTCTGGGTTGTGGAAATGACGGAGAGAGCACGAATGATTTCTGCGTTAATTCCGCCTTTAGGTCTGTACTAATGGCTACATATGCCGTTCGAATTGGAAAGCGCGCCGCAGTTATACCAGCGTATGGTGGATAATGCATTGTACGGGTATTTCACGATCGGCGAACAGCGGAGTTTAAGTGGTCGCGAGGTGTCACAACCGGTCGACGTATTCACGAACGGCGAGCCGGACCCGCATCGAAAGTCTTCAGTGTTGGGGCGGAGGTCCTATATTGGTGACATTCTGATCCCGGCGTCGTCCCGGACGTCCCTCCATCAGAAGGTAAACAGACTGTTGGAAGTCTGTGATCAGTGGAATTTGTCGATCAGTTTACCTAAGAGTGTGTGGGGACGACGCAAGGTTGAGTATCTCGGGCATCAGGTGTCGATATCAGGAATAGAAGCCGACCCGAAGGATTTGGGGTCGTTGGTCAATATTCCATATCCCCAAAAATTTTGATCAATGCAGTCCTTTTTGGGAAGCTCGAATTACTACAGCCGGTTCATTGAAGATTTCGCTATATACGCCTCAGTCCTATTTGAATTGAGAGAGGCTGACTTCCACAAAATTAGGCGGTTATACAATTCGGAGGATGATCATGCAACAAACCAAGACCAGGATGGTGATACCCAGATCGACGATGACCATGGCCAGAGGCTGGTGGGTAGCTGTGATAAAAAAATGACAAAGATGGATGGTCATGACCAACCGAATACAGAGGGGTCTAATGGCGAACATGAAAGCGGTCATCGTTGAGAAAAAGCTATGATCGCGTATCCAATGCTGAAAGCAAAAAATGCTTAGACCCCGGTGCTAAGACATTTTGACCCGGATCGTCGGCCAGTGATAGTGGTTTATGCCAGCAAATGGGCGGTATCCGCAGCTTTTTTTGCAAGAACACGAGGGAGTGAATTGGCCTGTTATTTTCACAATTCGCACGTTAAAACCGAATGAATTCAATTATGGTGTGGTGAAAAAAGAAGTCCTGGCCCTGCTCCGGATATTAGATGTTTGTTATACACTACTAGTATCGCGGGACCTAAAGGTGCTCACACGGTATTCAAATCTGGCGTGGTTGATGCAATCATCGGGCCGTAACGGGAGACTTGGAAGATGGGCAGCTTTACTGTCAACCTGGACTCTGGAGATTAACCGATGCAACAATAAGGAGGAAGAAGTTCTTGGCATTCTTGCCGCAATCATCACACCACGGGAGGATGTAGATGATATGCTGATCGCGATCTCGCCCCGGAAGCAACCGAGACAGATTATCAGTATGCCGCCCCCTACGGCCAGCCGCGAAGAATCGATTCTTGTAGTCAGCGTTGATGGAGCAGCCCGTATCCAGAATAAAGGGGGCTCCTACAGTGCAATAACATGGAAGCTTCCCGAGTGGACTATAGTATCGGCTGCGTCGCGTATCGACACTGGGCTGACCGTGAACAGGGCAGAGTACCATGGGTCGCTGCTGAGTTGCGAGTTGTTGGACACGCAGACAAGGGAACGAGTGTTCATTTGTGGGGATTCCAACCTGGTCATCAGGCAGATATGGGGTGAAATTGACTGCAAGGCACCGGGACTGCAGTTACTACGTCTCAAGGCCCTAGATCTACTGCGATCGTGACCGACCCACAAATTCTTAGATGTTAAGCGCGATTGGAATCAAAGTGCCGATAGACTGGCTGGCTCCGCTTTACGGCTGGAAAAGGCATGGTCAGGCTAACGGATCAGGATTGCCATGATTTACAAGTGATAAACCGACTGGACGAGACATTAGTACCAGTGACAAACAATCAAGTGGCCAAGATAACGTCGATACACGATCAGCCATACGGAGGCGTGAAGTGCCCACAATTATGCAAGAGGAAATAATACAGCAGATACGACTTGACCGCATAAAGCAAGCACAAGATGGGGAAAGTTGGATCGCCAACCTCAAACTGTACCTAGTCGGGTATGTTACCAAATTGGATACTACGGAAGCAAAAGAAAGTGCGGTTATTGCCCCAGATTACGTGGTGGATGAAGGTGGATTGCTATAATTCTGCCCACGAGCGGCAGCTAACCCCAGTGACCGCGCAGAGCTCGTCCATTTGGTGGCTCCCGAATTGCTGCAAGATGATGTCCTACGCCACTACCACGCAAGTCTGGAAGGTGGTCAATAAGGGGTAAGCGGAACGTATCACCGCGTGCGATCGCCCTTCATTGGAGAGGCTTGTTTAGAAGCGTGCAGCAGTATGTGGGAAAGTGCGTCGACTGCGAAACCGGGAAAGGATGTCCGATCTTACGAGGCGATTCCCGGGGAATTTACAGGCCACGTACCCGTTCTAGATCATTGCAATGGATCATTACCCCTCGTTACCCAGGTCATTCAAAGGTAGTACCGAACTGTTGCTTTGGGTGGATGTTTTTTCTGGCTACGTGATCGCTAAAGCTCGCTCGTCAAGAACGGCCCAGACGATCGCGGAAGGGTGTGAAGAATGTGTCTTCCGGCGTTTTAAGGCAAGCGAATCTATTTGTCACGACCGCAAACCCGGATTCATGTCGGAATTCTTCCGCGCGTTCAACCGCATTGCTGGTCAGAAACAACGTGCCACAATGGCGTATCGGCCTCAAGCCAATGTTACAGCTGAACGTATGGTCCAAACATTGACCAGGGCGCTAAAAATGAATGGCACGGATGTGAACCAACAAGATTGTGACGATTACGCTGAACACCGGACCTTCGCCATCAATACGGCCCATTACCGAGTACGAGGTGATACCCCGTTCTATCTTATCCATGGTTGGGATCCTCGATAAACGCTGGAAGCGACCCTGCCATTGGGGGATGTACTAAAATACGTGATCGGGATTTCCGGAGATGGCGCTATCACATACAGCGGCAATATCAACGAGCCCGCGCTACGGTGAATGACCGACTGAAGGACGCCGTTCACGACCGAGCTGACCAACACAACGTTGATCAAGGGCCAAATGGAATCAGCCGCGATAGCCAAGTGTGGCTATCTCTGGATCGAGTGACGGAGGGATATTCCAGGACACTGGATCACACGTGGCACGGCCCGTTTCGGGTGATCGAGAAGTGCGGGGAACATCAGTGCGGTTGGAGGTACAAGGGACCCCATACCAATTATTCCCACTCGTTCACGTATCCAAGCTGAAGCTAGTACGGATTTACCCTGATCGACCTGCTGCGCGGCTGGAGGCGGAAGAAACAGAGCTTGTTGATTTTGACGAATCTCTGCTTTTAGAGGACAGCTGGGAAAACGATCTAGCCGAAGGAGAATACGAGGTGGATAGTATCCGAGATGTGAGAACAGAACGAAAAATTAGGTACGGAAGGGTACATCGACCGTTCCTGGTCCGATGGAAAGGCCATAAGGATGAGACTTGGGTGAATGAGGCAAACCTCAATTGTGGTGATTCATCGCAAGAGTTTGAACGTGATCGAGCTAGGCGAAACCGTTTTGAAGTGATGCAAGTACATGAGGAAGAATCAATATGTTAGGGTGACCAGGGAAGGTAACCGCGGCCTTGAAGCATGGGGACTGTATGGTCTGTGATAGAACGAGGGATGACCACGTGAGCCATGAATGTGAAGAAGTGATGTGGTCAACTAACATGGTGATCATACAATTAAGATGACCAAGAGCGGTGACTGCGGCCACGAAACACTGTGGCCGCCTGTTCTGTGAAAGGAGGAAGAATGACTACGTAAGCTATGGATGTAAAGGAGTTGCGTGGTCAACCAAAGCGGTGTACACAGAATCTAGAAAACATGGTGAACAGACTTCAGTAGAAGTGAATATAATAAGCAGCGACTGGTGGTCATGACTGTGAACATAAACGTCATGGTCTCTCATGCTGGAGACGACCTTTCACTGTGCTACAAACCTGGTCCGGAGACGGTCGATGGATGAGCCTGGGTGGTCAGCAATGGCTGACCGATATTGATTGCGCCAGGGTCAGCGGAATCCGCAAGGAGTAAAAATGAGGCCAGATTCGGGATGTTGGTCTGTTGACAGCCAAACCCTGGATACCACCAGCATTTCTCAGACCGTCCTGGAAAATTGCAGGAAGAAGGGGTCCAACAGGATGTCGAGGTCACAATGACCCCAGACCAACCCCTCCAACACGATCCGGAGTACAGCCTTCCACCGGGGGCTGGACCGGGAACGCCGACGAAGCCATTCTTCATAGAAGACGCTCAATCCAGGGTATATCGCGCGACTTGGACTCACGATGATTGGGATCACATGAATAGACTCCCATAACGCCTGGCGATGATGGGCTTCGAACTCACGATACGCGGTCATCAAAGCTTGGACCCAGCCATTTGGGCGGAGTGACACAGGCGCAATAGGCCGATCCAAGACATCCCAAGGTTTCTGGCTGTATAAAGCAGCAATCTGGGCGGAGGTCGCTAGCCGCGGGTACTACTGAGATTCAGTTGGCGGACGCAGGGAACCGTCCGGAACGGGGAACAGGTAGTGCTCGGGCCGGAAGGAGTGGTGAAATAAGAGATCCAAGTCCAGGTGACCTACAGCGACTAAGCCCAAATGATGGGATGAACACGGCACAAACTGACCAGGGGGATAGGTTGCATGAGTGCGATACCCAGGTATCTACTAATCGCACGAAGATAGCACGGGGGGTAAAGCCTTGAAGGCGGTCGGGGATAAGAGCTTGTTCACTGGGCCATTATCGTAGCTTGGTACCCTCCCAGACCCATCGGTCTCGTCGGACGCCCTGGGTAGCTCTGCGGTCGAAGATGTCGCAGCGATGGGCGGCGACCGGGAGACGGCCGCTGAAGTACGAGTTTCACGTCTTGACGAAGCCGGACGAGTCGCGGGTGTATGACTGGCTGGATCTATCTCGATCGGCGTGTCAGCCAACCCATCGTCAGATCTTGTGGTCGAGGCAGAAGACCACCGTCGAACGGGAGAACGTGACCGTGACAGTGCGATGAGCATGGCCTCGTTAGCATATTCTACGGAGCCGTCGCTATTTCGAGCATGAGATGCGGAGGGGACACGCGCTCGTGTTTGTGTCTGTGACCGCCGAGTCATTACAGACGGTGGCGTGGTCACGGTCTTGGGCTTGGACGATTTTTTGGTCGTACGTGCTGGAATCTTGAGGACGTCGAGGCAAGGGCGAGACGCCTGCCGGGACTTGGGATGAGTAGATACCGATCGTGAATAGGTAGCTGGGCCGGCGGGCTCTGCGACCGTAGAGGAAGGGCTGGCAGACGAATCTGGTCCGACCGAACTCGAGGTGACCGTACCGCGTGTACGCTTGTTCGGGGATGGCACAGGATTGGTCGCTGACTGCTCTCGCCGCCGCTTATCATAGGCGAGCCCCACCGACGGCGGAAGCCAGTTAACAAAGTTGACCAGATGATTGAGCTGGGCCTAGCGGTCGCGAGAAAGCAGATCCCGTTCGGCTCGCAATAGTACTAGTTCCTCGATATGAGCAGCTTGGGAGGAGCGCAAACGGTGAAGCTCTTGGTAGCTTAAAGCGCGCTCTGTTTTCAATTGGTCAAGCTCCCGCCCACGTTGCGCAAAGCTGCGAGCAAGCGCATCGAAACCGATCCGCAGTAAAGTAGCACGCTGCTCTTTTTCCACTACCGCTCGCCGTAAGTCTTCACACTCCTTAGCTAACTGGTCAACCTCGGTCGTGTCCACGTCATGCGCTTGGTCACTACCCACGTCAGCATCGGCAGGATCAGCATCGTCCGCCGGGGCGTCATCAGATCCGACCGAAAAGCCAACAGGGTCGGCAAGGTGGTCAGCCGGAGCGGAGCTGGCTTGGTCAGGCTCGGCAGTGTCCAAGTTGCGCATTGGGTCGCTACCCACGTCAGCATCGGCAGGATCAGCATCGGCAGAAGAGGCATCGTCCGCCGGGGCGTCATCAGATCCGACCGAACAGCCAACAGGGTCGGCAAGGTGGTCAGCCGGAGCGGAGCTGGCTTGGTCAGGCTCGGCAGTGTCCAAGTTACGCATTGGGTCGCTACCAACGTCAGCATCGGCAGTATCAGCATCGGCAGAAGAGGCATCGTCCGCCGGGGCGTCATCAGATCCGACCGAAAAGCCAACAGGGTCGGCAAGGTGGTCAGCCGGAGCGGAGCTGGCTTGGTCAGGCTCGGCAGTGTCCAAGTTACGCATTGGGTCGCTACCCACGTCAGCATCGGCAGGATCAGCATCGGCAGAAGAGGCATCGTCCGCCGGGGTGTCATCAGATCCGACCGAAAAGCCAACAGGGTCGGCAAGGTGGTCAGCCGGAGCAGAGCTGGCTTGGTCAGGCTCGGCAGTGTCCAAGTTACGCATTGGGTCGCTACCCACGTCAGCATCGGCAGGATCAGCATCGGCAGAAGAGGCATCGTCCGCCGGGGCGTTATTAGATCCGACCGAAAAGCCAACAGGGTCGGCAAGGTGGTCAGCCGGAGCGGAGCTGGCTTGGTCAGGCTCGGCAGTGTCCAAGTTACGCATTGGGTCGCTACCCACGTCAGCATCGGCAGGATCAGCATCGGCAGAAGAGTCATCGTCCGCCGGGGTGTCATCAGATCCGACCGAAAAGCCAACAGGGTCGGCAAGGTGGTCAGCCGGAGCGGAGCTGGCTTGGTCAGGCTCGACAGTGTCCAAGTTACGCATTGGGTCGCTACCCACGTCAGCATCGGCAGGATCAGCATCGGCAGAAGAGGCATCGTCCGCCGGGGCGTTATTAGATCCGACCGAAAAGCCAACAGGGTCGGCAAGGTGGTCAGCCGGAGCGGAGCTGGCTTGGTCAGGCTCGGCAGTGTCCAAGTTACGCATTGGGTCGCTACCCACGTCAGCATCGGCAGGATCAGCATCGGCAGAAGAGGCATCGTCCGCCGGGGCGTCATCAGATCCGACCGAAAAGCCAACAGGGTCGGCAAGGTGGTCAGCCGGAGCGGAGCTGGCTTGGTCAGGCTCGGCAGTGTCCAAGTTACGCATTGGGTCGCTACCCACGTCAGCATCGGCAGGATCAGCATCGGCAGAAGAGGCATCGTCCGCCGGGGCGTCATCAGATCCGACCGAAAAGCCAACAGGGTCGGCAAGGTGGTCAGCCGGAGCGGAGCTGGCTTGGTCAGGCTCGGCAGTGTCCTAGTTACGCATTGGGTCGCTACCCACGTCAGCATCGGCAGTATCAGCATCGGCAGAAGAGGCATCGTCCGCCGGGGCGTCATCAGATCCGACCGAACAGCCAACAGGGTCGGCAAGGTGGTCAGCCGGAGCGGAGCTGGCTTGGTCAGGCTCGGCAGTGTCCAAGTTACGCATTGGGTCGCTACCCACATCAGCATCGGCAGTATCAGCATCGGCAGAAGAGGCATCGTCCGCCGGGGCGTCATCAGATCCGACCGAAAAGCCAACAGGGTCGGCAAGGTGGTCAGCCGGAGCGGAGCTGGCTTGGTCAGGCTCGGCAGTGTCCAAGTTACGCATTGGGTCGCTACCCACGTCAGCATCGGCAGGATCAGCATCGGCAGAAGAGGCATCGTCCGCCGGGGCGTCATCAGATCCGACCGAACAGCCAACAGGGTCGGCAAGGTGGTCAGCCGGAGCGGAGCTGGCTTGGTCAGGCTCGGCAGTGTCCAAGTTACGCATTGGGTCGCTACCCACGTCAGCATCGGCAGGATCAGCATCGGCAGAAGAGGCATCGTCCGCCGGGGCGTCATCAGATCCGACCGAAAAGCCAACAGGGTCGGCAAGGTGGTCTGCCGGAGCGGAGCTGGCTTGGTCAGGCTCGGCAGTGTCCAAGTTACGCATTGGGTCGCTATTCACGTCAGCATCGGCAGGATCAGCATCGGCAGAAGAGGCATCGTCCGCCGGGGTGTCATCAGATCCGACCGAAAAGCCAACAGGGTCGGCAAGGTGGTCAGCTGGAGCGGGGCTGGCTTGGTCAGGCTCGGCAGTGTCCAAGTTACGCATTGGGTCGCTACCCACGTCAGCATCGGCAGGATCAGCATCGGCAGAAGAGGCATCGTCCGCCGGGGCGTCATCAGATCCGACCGAACAGCCAACAGGGTCGGCAAGGTGGTCAGCCGGAGCGGAGCTGGCTTGGTCAGGCTCGGCAGTGTCCAAGTTACGCATTGGGTCGCTACCCACGTCAGCATCGGCAGGATCAGCATCGGCAGAAGAGGCATCGTCCGCCGGGGCGTCATCAGATCCGACCGAAAAGCCAACAGGGTCGGCAAGGTGGTCTGCCGGAGCGGAGCTGGCTTGGTCAGGCTCGGCAGTGTCCAAGTTACGCATTGGGTCGCTATTCACGTCAGCATCGGCAGGATCAGCATCGGCAGAAGAGGCATCGTCCGCCGGGGTGTCATCAGATCCGACCGAAAAGCCAACAGGGTCGGCAAGGTGGTCAGCCGGAGCAGAGGTGGCTTGGTCAGGCTCGGCAGTGTCCAAGTTACGCATTGGGTCGCTACCCACGTCAGCATCGGCAGGATCAGCATCGGCAGAAGAGGCATCGTCCGCCGGGGCGTCATCAGATCCGACCGAAAAGCCAACAGGGTCGGCAAGGTGGTCTGCCGGAGCGGAGCTGGCTTGGTCAGGCTCGGCAGTGTCCAAGTTACGCATTGGGTCGCTATTCACGTCAGCATCGGCAGGATCAGCATCGGCAGAAGAGGCATCGTCCGCCGGGGTGTCATCAGATCCGACCGAAAAGCCAACAGGGTCGGCAAGGTGGTCAGCCGGAGCAGAGCTGGCTTGGTCAGGCTCGGCAGTGTCCAAGTTACGCATTGGGTCGCTACCCACGTCAGCATCGGCAGGATCAGCATCGGCAGAAGAGGCATCGTCCGCCGGGGTGTCATCAGATCCGACCGAAAAGCCAACAGGGTCGGCAAGGTGGTCAGCCGGAGCGGAGCTGGCTTGGTCAGGCTCGGCAGTGTCCAAGTTACGCATTGGGTCGCTACCCACGTCAGCATCGGCAGGATCAGCATCGGCAGAAGAGGCATCGTCCGCCGGGGCGTCATCAGATCCGACCGAAAAGCCAACAGGGTCGGCAAGGTGGTCAGCCGGAGCGGAGCTGGATTGGTCAGGCTCGGCAGTGTCCAAGTTACGCATTGGGTCGCTACCCACGTCAGCATCGGCAGGATCAGCATCGGCAGAAGAGGCATCGTCCGCCGGGGCGTCATCGGATCCGACCGAAAAGCCAACAGGGTCGGCAAGGTAGTCAGCCGGAGCGGAGCTGGCTTGGTCAGGCTCGGCAGTGTCCAAGTTACGCATTGGGTTGCTACCCACGTCAGCATCGGCAGGATCAGCATCGGCAGAAGAGGCATCGTCCGCCGGGGCGTCATCAGATCCGACCGAAAAGCCAACAGGGTCGGCAAGGTGGTCAGCCGGAGCGGAGCTGGCTTGGTCAGGCTCGGCAGTGTCCAAGTTACGCATTGGGTCGCTACCCACGTCAGCATCGGCAGGATCAGCATCGGCAGAAGAGGCATCGTCCGCCGGGGCGTCATCAGATCCGACCGAACAGCCAACAGGGTCGGCAAGGTGGTCAGCCGGAGCGGAGCTGGCTTGGTCAGGCTCGGCAGTGTCCAAGTTACGCATTGGGTCGCTACCCATGTCAGCATCGGCAGTATCAGCATCGGCAGAAGAGGCATCGTCCGCCGGGGCGTCATCAGATCCGACCGAAAAGCCAACAGGGTCGGCAAGGTGGTCAGCCGGAGCGGAGCTGGCTTGGTCAGGCTCGGCAGTGTCCAAGTTACGCATTGGGTCGCTACCCACGTCAGCATCGGCAGGATCAGCATCGGCAGAAGAGGCATCGTCCGCCGGGGCGTCATCAGATCCGACCGAAAAGCCAACAGGGTCGGCAAGGTGGTCAGCCGGAGCGGAGCTGGCTTGGTCAGGCTCGGCAGTGTCCAAGTTACGCATTGGGTCGCTACCCACGTCAGCATCGGCAGGATCAGCATCGGCAGAAGAGGCATCGTCCGCCGGGGCGTCATCAGATCCAACCGAAAAGCCAACAGGGTCGGCAAGGTGGTCAGCCGGAGCGGAGCTGGCTTGGTCAGGCTCGGCAGTGTCCAAGTTACGCATTGGGTCGCTACCCACGTCAGCATCGGCAGTATCAGCATCGGCAGAAGAGGCATCGTCCGCCGGGGCGTCATCAGATCCGACCGAACAGCCAACAGGGTCGGCGAGGTGGTCAGCCGGAGCGGAGCTGGCTTGGTCAGGCTCGGCAGTGTCCAAGTTACGCATTGGGTCGCTACCCACGTCAGCATCGGCAGGATCAGCATCGGCAGAAGAGGCATCGTCCGCCGGGGCGTCATCAGATCCGACCGAAAAGCCAACAGGGTCGGCAAGGTGGTCAGCCGGAGCGGAGCTGGCTTGGTCAGGCTCGGCAGTGTCCAAGTTACGCATTGGGTCGCTACCCACGTCAGCATCGGCAGTATCAGCATCGGCAGAAGAGGCATCGTCCGCCGGGGCGTCATCAGATCCGACCGAAAAGCCAACAGGGTCGGCAAGGTGGTCAGCCGGAGCGGAGCTGGCTTGGTCAGGCTCGGCAGTGTCCAAGTTACGCATTGGGTCGCTACCCACGTCAGCATCGGCAGGATCAGCATCGGCAGAAGAGGCATCGTCCGCCGGGGCGTCATCAGATCCGACCGAACAGCCAACAGGGTCGGCAAGGTGGTCAGCCGGAGCGGAGCTGGCTTGGTCAGGCTCGGCAGTGTCCAAGTTACGCATTGGGTCGCTACCCACGTCAGTATCGGCAGTATCAGCATCGGCAGAAGAGGCATCGTCCGCCGGGGCGTCATCAGATCCGACCGAAAAGCCAACAGGGTCGGCAAGGTGGTCAGCCGGAGCGGAGCTGGCTTGGTCAGGCTCGGCAGTGTCCAAGTTACGCATTGGGTCGCTACCCACGTCAGCATCGGCAGGATCAGCATCGGCAGAAGAGGCATCGTCCGCCGGGGCGTCATCAGATCCGACCGAACAGCCAACAGGGTCGGCAAGGTGGTCAGCCGGAGCGGAGCTGGCTTGGTCAGGCTCGGCAGTGTCCAAGTTACGCATTGGGTCGCTACCCACGTCAGCATCGGCAGGATCAGCATCGGCAGAAGAGGCATCGTCCGCCGGGGCGTCATCAGATCCGACCGAAAAGCCAACAGGGTCGGCAAGGTGGTCAGCCGGAGCGGAGCTGGCTTGGTCAGGCTCGGCAGTGTCCAAGTTACGCATTGGGTCGCTACCCACGTCAGCATCGGCAGGATCAGCATCGGCAGAAGAGGCATCGTCCGCCGGGGCGTCATCAGATCCGACCGAACAGCCAACAGGGTCGGCAAGGTGGTCAGCCGGAGCGGAGCTGGCTTGGTCAGGCTCGGCAGTGTCCAAGTTACGCATTGGGTCGCTACCCACGTCAGCATCGGCAGGATCAGCATCGGCAGAAGAGGCATCGTCCGCCGGGGCGTCATCAGATCCGACCGAAAAGCCAACAGGGTCGGCAAGGTGGTCAGCCGGAGCGGAGCTGGCTTGGTCAGGCTCGGCAGTGTCCAAGTTACGCATTGGGTCGCTACCCACGTCAGCATCGGCAGGATCAGCATCGGCAGAAGAGGCATCGTCCGCCGGGGCGTCATCAGATCCGACCGAACAGCCAACAGGGTCGGCAAGGTGGTCAGCCGGAGCGGAGCTGGCTTGGTCAGGCTCGGCAGTGTCCAAGTTACGCATTGGGTCGCTACCCACGTCAGCATCGGCAGGATCAGCATCGGCAGAAGAGGCATCGTCCGCCGGGGCGTCATCAGATCCGACCGAAAAGCCAACAGGGTCGGCAAGGTGGTCAGCCGGAGCGGAGCTGGCTTGGTCAGGCTCGGCAGTGTCCAAGTTACGCATTGGGTCGCTACCCACGTCAGCATCGGCAGGATCAGCATCGGCAGAAGAGGCATCGTCCGCCGGGGCGTCATCAGATCCGACCGAAAAGCCAACAGGGTCGGCAAGGTGGTCAGCCGGAGCGGAGCTGGCTTGGTCAGGCTCGGCAGTGTCCAAGTTACGCATTGGGTCGCTACCCACGTCAGCATCGGCAGGATCAGCATCGGCAGAAGAGGCATCGTCCGCCGGGGCGTCATCAGATCCGACCGAAAAGCCAACAGGGTCGGCAAGGTGGTCAGCCGGAGCGGAGCTGGCTTGGTCAGGCTCGGCAGTGTCCAAGTTACGCATTGGGTCGCTACCCACGTCAGCATCGGCAGGATCAGCATCGGCAGAAGAGGCATCGTCCGCCGGGGCGTCATCAGATCCGACCGAACAGCCAACAGGGTCGGCAAGGTGGTCAGCCGGAGCGGAGCTGGCTTGGTCAGGCTCGGCAGTGTCCAAGTTACGCATTGGGTCGCTACCCACGTCAGCATCGGCAGTATCAGCATCGGCAGAAGAGGCATCGTCCGCCGGGGCGTCATCAGATCCGACCGAAAAGCCAACAGGGTCGGCGAGGTGGTCAGCTGGAGCGGGGCTGGCTTGGTCAGGCCCGGCAGTGTCCAAGTTACGCATTGGGTCGCTACCCACGTCAGCATCGGCAGGATCAGCATCAGCAGAAGAGGCATCGTCCGCCGGGGCGTCATCAGATCCGACCGAAAAGCCAACAGGGTCGGCAAGGTGGTCAGCCGGAGCGGAGCTGGCTTGGTCAGGCTCGGCAGTGTCCAAGTTACGCATTGGGTCGCTACCCACGTCAGCATCGGCAGTATCAGCATCGGCAGAAGAGGCATCGTCCGCCGGGGCGTCATCAGATCCGACCGAAAAGCCAACAGGGTCGGCGAGGTGGTCAGCTGGAGCGGGGCTGGCTTGGTCAGGCCCGGCAGTGTCCAAGTTACGCATTGGGTCGCTACCCACGTCAGCATCGGCAGAAGAGGCATCGTCCGCCGGGGCGTCATCAGATCCGACCGAAAAGCCAACAGGGTCGGCAAGGTGGTCAGCCGGAGCGGAGCTGGCTTGGTCAGGCTCGGCAGTGTCCAAGTTACGCATTGGGTCGCTACCCACGTCAGCATCGGCAGGATCAGCATCAGCAGAAGAGGCATCGTCCGCCGGGGCGTCATCAGATCCGACCGAAAAGCCAACAGGGTCGGCAAGGTGGTCAGCCGGAGCGGAGCTGGCTTGGTCAGGCTCGGCAGTGTCCAAGTTACGCATTGGGTCGCTACCCACGTCAGCATCGGCAGTATCAGCATCGGCAGAAGAGGCATCGTCCGCCGGGGCGTCATCAGATCCGACCGAACAGCCAACAGGGTCGGCGAGGTGGTCAGCTGGAGCGGGGCTGGCTTGGTCAGGCCCGGCAGTGTCCAAGTTACGCATTGGGTCGCTACCCACGTCAGCATCGGCAGGATCAGCATCGGCAGAAGAGGCATCGTCCGCCGGGGCGTCATCAGATCCGACCGAAAAGCCAACAGGGTCGGCAAGGTGGTCAGCCGGAGCGGAGCTGGCTTGGTCAGGCTCGGCAGTGTCCAAGTTACGCATTGGGTCGCTACCCACGTCAGCATCGGCAGTATCAGCATCGGCAGAAGAGGCATCGTCCGCCGGGGCGTCATCAGATCCGACCGAAAAGCCAACAGGGTCGGCAAGGTGGTCAGCCGGAGCGGAGCTGGCTTGGTCAGGCTCGGCAGTGTCCAAGTTACGCATTGGGTCGCTACCCACGTCAGCATCGGCAGTATCAGCATCGGCAGAAGAGGCATCGTCCGCCGGGGCGTCATCAGATCCGACCGAAAAGCCAACAGGGTCGGCGAGGTGGTCAGCTGGAGCGGGGCTGGCTTGGTCAGGCTCGGCAGTGTCCAAGTTACGCATTGGGTCGCTACCCACGTCAGCATCGGCAGGATCAGCATCGGCAGAAGAGGCATCGTCCGCCGGGGCGTCATCAGATCCGACCGAACAGCCAACAGGGTCGGCGAGGTGGTCAGCTGGAGCGGGGCTGGCTTGGTCAGGCTCGGCAGTGTCCAAGTTACGCATTGGGTCGCTACCCACGTCAGCATCGGCAGTATCAGCATCGTCCGCCGGGGCGTCATCAGATCCGACCGAAAAGCCAACAGGGTCGGCAAGGTGGTCAGCCGGAGCGGAGCTGGCTTGGTCAGGCTCGGCAGTGTCCAAGTTACGCATTGGGTCGCTACCCACGTCAGCATCGGCAGGATCAGCATCGGCAGAAGAGGCATCGTCCGCCGGGGCGTCATCAGATCCGACCGAAAAGCCAACAGGGTCGGCAAGGTGGTCAGCCGGAGCGGAGCTGGCTTGGTCAGGCTCGGCAGTGTCCAAGTTACGCATTGGGTCGCTACCCACGTCAGCATCGGCAGGATCAGCATCGGCAGAAGAGGCATCGTCCGCCGGGGCGTCATCAGATCCGACCGAAAAGCCAACAGGGTCGGCAAGGTGGTCAGCCGGAGCGGGAGCTGGCTTGGTCAGGCTCGGCAGTGTCCAAGTTACGCATTGGGTCGCTACCCACGTCAGCATCGGCAGGATCAGCATCGGCAGAAGAGGCATCGTCCGCCGGGGCGTCATCAGATCCGACCGAAAAGCCAACAGGGTCGGCGAGGTGGTCAGCCGGAGCGGAGCTGGCTTGGTCAGGCTCGGCAGTGTCCAAGTTACGCATTGGGTCGCTACCCACGTCAGCATCGGCAGGATCAGCATCGCAGAAGAGGCATCGTCCGCCGGGGCGTCATCAGATCCGACCGAAAAGCCAACAGGGTCGGCAAGGTGGTCAGCCGGAGCGGAGCTGGCTTGGTCAGGCTCGGCAGTGTCCAAGTTACGCATTGGGTCGCTACCCACGTCAGCATCGGCAGGATCAGCATCAGCAGAAGAGGCATCGTCCGCCGGGGCGTCATCAGATCCGACCGAAAAGCCAACAGGGTCGGCAAGGTGGTCAGCCGGAGCGGAGCTGGCTTGGTCAGGCTCGGCAGTGTCCAAGTTACGCATTGGGTCGCTACCCACGTCAGCATCGGCAGTATCAGCATCGGCAGAAGAGGCATCGTCCGCCGGGGCGTCATCAGATCCGACCGAACAGCCAACAGGGTCGGCGAGGTGGTCAGCTGGAGCGGGGCTGGCTTGGTCAGGCCCGGCAGTGTCCAAGTTACGCATTGGGTCGCTACCCACGTCAGCATCGGCAGGATCAGCATCGGCAGAAGAGGCATCGTCCGCCGGGGCGTCATCAGATCCGACCGAAAAGCCAACAGGGTCGGCAAGGTGGTCAGCCGGAGCGGAGCTGGCTTGGTCAGGCTCGGCAGTGTCCAAGTTACGCATTGGGTCGCTACCCACGTCAGCATCGGCAGGATCAGCATCGGCAGAAGAGGCATCGTCCGCCGGGGCGTCATCAGATCCGACCGAAAAGCCAACAGGGTCGGCAAGGTGGTCAGCCGGAGCGGAGCTGGCTTGGTCAGGCTCGGCAGTGTCCAAGTTACGCATTGGGTCGCTACCCACGTCAGCATCGGCAGGATCAGCATCGGCAGAAGAGGCATCGTCCGCCGGGGCGTCATCAGATCCGACCGAAAAGCCAACAGGGTCGGCAAGGTGGTCAGCCGGAGCGGAGCTGGCTTGGTCAGGCTCGGCAGTGTCCAAGTTACGCATTGGGTCGCTACCCACGTCAGCATCGGCAGGATCAGCATCGGCAGAAGAGGCATCGTCCGCCGGGGGCGTCATCAGATCCGACCGAAAAGCCAACAGGGTCGGCGAGGTGGTCAGCCGGAGCGGGGCTGGCTTGGTCAGGCTCGGCAGTGTCCAAGTTACGCATTGGGTCGCTACCCACGTCAGCATCGGCAGGATCAGCATCGGCAGAAGAGGCATCGTCCGCCGGGGCGTCATCAGATCCGACCGAAAAGCCAACAGGGTCGGCGAGGTGGTCAGCCGGAGCGGGGCTGGCTTGGTCAGGCTCGGCTGTGTCCAAGTTACGCATTGGGTCGCTACCCACGTCAGCATCGGCAGTAGCAGCATCGCAGAAGAGGCATCGTCCGCCGGGGGCGTCATCAGATCCGACCGAAAAGCCAACAGGGTCGGCAAGGTGGTCAGCCGGAGCGGAGCTGGCTTGGTCAGGCTCGGCAGTGTCCAAGTTACGCATTGGGTCGCTACCCACGTCAGCATCGGCAGGATCAGCATCGGCAGAAGAGGCATCGTCCGCCGGGGCGTCATCAGATCCGACCGAAAAGCCAACAGGGTCGGCAAGGTGGTCAGCCGGAGCGGAGCTGGCTTGGTCAGGCTCGGCAGTGTCCAAGTTACGCATTGGGTCGCTACCCACGTCAGCATCGGCAGGATCAGCATCGGCAGAAGAGGCATCGTCCGCCGGGGCGTCATCAGATCCGACCGAAAAGCCAACAGGGTCGGCAAGGTGGTCAGCCGGAGCGGAGCTGGCTTGGTCAGGCTCGGCAGTGTCCAAGTTACGCATTGGGTCGCTACCCACGTCAGCATCGGCAGGATCAGCATCAGCAGAAGAGGCATCGTCCGCCGGGGCGTCATCAGATCCGACCGAAAAGCCAACAGGGTCGGCAAGGTGGTCAGCCGGAGCGGAGCTGGCTTGGTCAGGCTCGGCAGTGTCCAAGTTACGCATTGGGTCGCTACCCACGTCAGCATCGGCAGGATCAGCATCGGCAGAAGAGGCATCGTCCGCCGGGGCGTCATCAGATCCGACCGAAAAGCCAACAGGGTCGGCAAGGTGGTCAGCCGGAGCGGAGCTGGCTTGGTCAGGCTCGGCAGTGTCCAAGTTACGCATTGGGTCGCTACCCACGTCAGCATCGGCAGGATCAGCATCGGCAGAAGAGGCATCGTCCGCCGGGGCGTCATCAGATCCGACCGAAAAGCCAACAGGGTCGGCAAGGTGGTCAGCCGGAGCGGAGCTGGCTTGGTCAGGCTCGGCAGTGTCCAAGTTACGCATTGGGTCGCTACCCACGTCAGCATCGGCAGTATCAGCATCGGCAGAAGAGGCATCGTCCGCCGGGGCGTCATCAGATCCGACCGAAAAGCCAACAGGGTCGGCAAGGTGGTCAGCCGGAGCGGAGCTGGCTTGGTCAGGCTCGGCAGTGTCCAAGTTACGCATTGGGTCGCTACCCACGTCAGCATCGGCAGTATCAGCATCGGCAGAAGAGGCATCGTCCGCCGGGGGCGTCATCAGATCCGACCGAAAAGCCAACAGGGTCGGCGAGGTGGTCAGCTGGAGCGGGGCTGGCTTGGTCAGGCTCGGCAGTGTCCAAGTTACGCATTGGGTCGCTACCCACGTCAGCATCGGCAGGATCAGCATCGGCAGAAGAGGCATCGTCCGCCGGGGCGTCATCAGATCCGACCGAAAAGCCAACAGGGTCGGCAAGGTGGTCAGCCGGAGCGGAGCTGGCTTGGTCAGGCTCGGCAGTGTCCAAGTTACGCATTGGGTCGCTACCCACGTCAGCATCGGCAGGATCAGCATCGGCAGAAGAGGCATCGTCCGCCGGGGCGTCATCAGATCCGACCGAAAAGCCAACAGGGTCGGCAAGGTGGTCAGCCGGAGCGGAGCTGGCTTGGTCAGGCTCGGCAGTGTCCAAGTTACGCATTGGGTCGCTACCCACGTCAGCATCGGCAGGATCAGCATCGGCAGAAGAGGCATCGTCCGCCGGGGCGTCATCAGATCCGACCGAAAAGCCAACAGGGTCGGCAAGGTGGTCAGCCGGAGCGGAGCTGGCTTGGTCAGGCTCGGCAGTGTCCAAGTTACGCATTGGGTCGCTACCCACGTCAGCATCGGCAGTATCAGCATCGGCAGAAGAGGCATCGTCCGCCGGGGCGTCATCAGATCCGACCGAAAAGCCAACAGGGTCGGCAAGGTGGTCAGCCGGAGCGGAGCTGGCTTGGTCAGGCTCGGCAGTGTCCAAGTTACGCATTGGGTCGCTACCCACGTCAGCATCGGCAGGATCAGCATCGGCAGAAGAGGCATCGTCCGCCGGGGCGTCATCAGATCCGACCGAAAAGCCAACAGGGTCGGCAAGGTGGTCAGCCGGAGCGGAGCTGGCTTGGTCAGGCTCGGCAGTGTCCAAGTTACGCATTGGGTCGCTACCCACGTCAGCATCGGCAGGATCAGCATCGGCAGAAGAGGCATCGTCCGCCGGGGCGTCATCAGATCCGACCGAAAAGCCAACAGGGTCGGCAAGGTGGTCAGCTGGAGCGGAGCTGGCTTGGTCAGGCTCGGCAGTGTCCAAGTTACGCATTGGGTCGCTACCCACGTCAGCATCGGCAGGATCAGCATCGGCAGAAGAGGCATCGTCCGCCGGGGCGTCATCAGATCCGACCGAAAAGCCAACAGGGTCGGCAAGGTGGTCAGCCGGAGCGGAGCTGGCTTGGTCAGGCTCGGCAGTGTCCAAGTTACGCATTGGGTCGCTACCCACGTCAGCATCGGCAGTATCAGCATCGGCAGAAGAGGCATCGTCCGCCGGGGCGTCATCAGATCCGACCGAAAAGCCAACAGGGTCGGCAAGGTGGTCAGCCGGAGCGGAGCTGGCTTGGTCAGGCTCGGCAGTGTCCAAGTTACGCATTGGGTCGCTACCCACGTCAGCATCGGCAGTATCAGCATCGGCAGAAGAGGCATCGTCCGCCGGGGCGTCATCAGATCCGACCGAAAAGCCAACAGGGTCGGCAAGGTGGTCAGCTGGAGCGGAGCTGGCTTGGTCAGGCTCGGCAGTGTCCAAGTTACGCATTGGGTCGCTACCCACGTCAGCATCGGCAGGATCAGCATCGGCAGAAGAGGCATCGTCCGCCGGGGCGTCATCAGATCCGACCGAAAAGCCAACAGGGTCGGCAAGGTGGTCAGCCGGAGCGGAGCTGGCTTGGTCAGGCTCGGCAGTGTCCAAGTTACGCATTGGGTCGCTACCCACGTCAGCATCGGCAGGATCAGCATCGGCAGAAGAGGCATCGTCCGCCGGGGCGTCATCAGATCCGACCGAAAAGCCAACAGGGTCGGCAAGGTGGTCAGCCGGAGCGGGGCTGGCTTGGTCAGGCTCGGCAGTGTCCAAGTTACGCATTGGGTCGCTACCCACGTCAGCATCGGCAGTATCAGCATCGGCAGAAGAGGCATCGTCCGCCGGGGCGTCATCAGATCCGACCGAAAAGCCAACAGGGTCGGCAAGGTGGTCAGCCGGAGCGGAGCTGGCTTGGTCAGGCTCGGCAGTGTCCAAGTTACGCATTGGGTCGCTACCCACGTCAGCATCGGCAGGATCAGCATCGGCAGAAGAGGCATCGTCCGCCGGGGCGTCATCAGATCCGACCGAAAAGCCAACAGGGTCGGCAAGGTGGTCAGCCGGAGCGGAGCTGGCTTGGTCAGGCTCGGCAGTGTCCAAGTTACGCATTGGGTCGCTACCCACGTCAGCATCGGCAGGATCAGCATCGGCAGAAGAGGCATCGTCCGCCGGGGCGTCATCAGATCCGACCGAAAAGCCAACAGGGTCGGCAAGGTGGTCAGCCGGAGCGGAGCTGGCTTGGTCAGGCTCGGCAGTGTCCAAGTTACGCATTGGGTCGCTACCCACGTCAGCATCGGCAGGATCAGCATCGGCAGAAGAGGCATCGTCCGCCGGGGCGTCATCAGATCCGACCGAAAAGCCAACAGGGTCGGCGAGGTGGTCAGCCGGAGCGGAGCTGGCTTGGTCAGGCTCGGCAGTGTCCAAGTTACGCATTGGGTCGCTACCACACGTCAGCATCGGCAGGATCAGCATCGGCAGAAGAGGCATCGTCCGCCGGGGCGTCATCAGATCCGACCGAAAAGCCAACAGGGTCGGCAAGGTGGTCAGCCGGAGCGGAGCTGGCTTGGTCAGGCTCGGCAGTGTCCAAGTTACGCATTGGGTCGCTACCCACGTCAGCATCGGCAGGATCAGCATCAGCAGAAGAGGCATCGTCCGCCGGGGCGTCATCAGATCCGACCGAAAAGCCAACAGGGTCGGCAAGGTGGTCAGCCGGAGCGGAGCTGGCTTGGTCAGGCTCGGCAGTGTCCAAGTTACGCATTGGGTCGCTACCCACGTCAGCATCGGCAGTATCAGCATCGGCAGAAGAGGCATCGTCCGCCGGGGCGTCATCAGATCCGACCGAACAGCCAACAGGGTCGGCGAGGTGGTCAGCTGGAGCGGGGCTGGCTTGGTCAGGCCCGGCAGTGTCCAAGTTACGCATTGGGTCGCTACCCACGTCAGCATCGGCAGGATCAGCATCGGCAGAAGAGGCATCGTCCGCCGGGGCGTCATCAGATCCGACCGAAAAGCCAACAGGGTCGGCAAGGTGGTCAGCCGGAGCGGAGCTGGCTTGGTCAGGCTCGGCAGTGTCCAAGTTACGCATTGGGTCGCTACCCACGTCAGCATCGGCAGGATCAGCATCAGCAGAAGAGGCATCGTCCGCCGGGGCGTCATCAGATCCGACCGAAAAGCCAACAGGGTCGGCAAGGTGGTCAGCCGGAGCGGAGCTGGCTTGGTCAGGCTCGGCAGTGTCCAAGTTACGCATTGGGTCGCTACCCACGTCAGCATCGGCAGTATCAGCATCGGCAGAAGAGGCATCGTCCGCCGGGGCGTCATCAGATCCGACCGAACAGCCAACAGGGTCGGCGAGGTGGTCAGCTGGAGCGGGGCTGGCTTGGTCAGGCCCGGCAGTGTCCAAGTTACGCATTGGGTCGCTACCCACGTCAGCATCGGCAGGATCAGCATCGGCAGAAGAGGCATCGTCCGCCGGGGCGTCATCAGATCCGACCGAAAAGCCAACAGGGTCGGCAAGGTGGTCAGCCGGAGCGGAGCTGGCTTGGTCAGGCTCGGCAGTGTCCAAGTTACGCATTGGGTCGCTACCCACGTCAGCATCGGCAGGATCAGCATCGGCAGAAGAGGCATCGTCCGCCGGGGCGTCATCAGATCCGACCGAAAAGCCAACAGGGTCGGCAAGGTGGTCAGCCGGAGCGGAGCTGGCTTGGTCAGGCTCGGCAGTGTCCAAGTTACGCATTGGGTCGCTACCCACGTCAGCATCGGCAGTATCAGCATCGGCAGAAGAGGCATCGTCCGCCGGGGCGTCATCAGATCCGACCGAACAGCCAACAGGGTCGGCGAGGTGGTCAGCTGGAGCGGGGCTGGCTTGGTCAGGCTCGGCAGTGTCCAAGTTACGCATTGGGTCGCTACCCACGTCAGCATCGGCAGGATCAGCATCGGCAGAAGAGGCATCGTCCGCCGGGGCGTCATCAGATCCGACCGAAAAGCCAACAGGGTCGGCAAGGTGGTCAGCCGGAGCGGAGCTGGCTTGGTCAGGCTCGGCAGTGTCCAAGTTACGCATTGGGTCGCTACCCACGTCAGCATCGGCAGGATCAGCATCAGCAGAAGAGGCATCGTCCGCCGGGGCGTCATCAGATCCGACCGAAAAGCCAACAGGGTCGGCAAGGTGGTCAGCCGGAGCGGAGCTGGCTTGGTCAGGCTCGGCAGTGTCCAAGTTACGCATTGGGTCGCTACCCACGTCAGCATCGGCAGGATCAGCATCGGCAGAAGAGGCATCGTCCGCCGGGGGCGTCATCAGATCCGACCGAAAAGCCAACAGGGTCGGCAAGGTGGTCAGCCGGAGCGGAGCTGGCTTGGTCAGGCTCGGCAGTGTCCAAGTTACGCATTGGGTCGCTACCCACGTCAGCATCGGCAGGATCAGCATCGGCAGAAGAGGCATCGTCCGCCGGGGCGTCATCAGATCCGACCGAAAAGCCAACAGGGTCGGCAAGGTGGTCAGCTGGAGCGGGGCTGGCTTGGTCAGGCTCGGCAGTGTCCAAGTTACGCATTGGGTCGCTACCCACGTCAGCATCGGCAGGATCAGCATCAGCAGAAGAGGCATCGTCCGCCGGGGCGTCATCAGATCCGACCGAAAAGCCAACAGGGTCGGCAAGGTGGTCAGCCGGAGCGGAGCTGGCTTGGTCAGGCTCGGCAGTGTCCAAGTTACGCATTGGGTCGCTACCCACGTCAGCATCGGCAGGATCAGCATCAGCAGAAGAGGCATCGTCCGCCGGGGCGTCATCAGATCCGACCGAAAAGCCAACAGGGTCGGCAAGGTGGTCAGCCGGAGCGGAGCTGGCTTGGTCAGGCTCGGCAGTGTCCAAGTTACGCATTGGGTCGCTACCCACGTCAGCATCGGCAGTATCAGCATCGGCAGAAGAGGCATCGTCCGCCGGGGCGTCATCAGATCCGACCGAAAAGCCAACAGGGTCGGCAAGGTGGTCAGCCGGAGCGGAGCTGGCTTGGTCAGGCTCGGCAGTGTCCAAGTTACGCATTGGGTCGCTACCCACGTCAGCATCGGCAGGATCAGCATCGGCAGAAGAGGCATCGTCCGCCGGGGCGTCATCAGATCCGACCGAAAAGCCAACAGGGTCGGCAAGGTGGTCAGCCGGAGCGGAGCTGGCTTGGTCAGGCTCGGCAGTGTCCAAGTTACGCATTGGGTCGCTACCCACGTCAGCATCGGCAGTATCAGCATCGGCAGAAGAGGCATCGTCCGCCGGGGGCGTCATCCGATCCGACCGAAAAGCCAACAGGGTCGGCAAGGTGGTCAGCTGGAGCGGAGCTGGCTTGGTCAGGCTCGGCAGTGTCCAAGTTACGCATTGGGTCGCTACCCACGTCAGCATCGGCAGGATCAGCATCGGCAGAAGAGGCATCGTCCGCCGGGGCGTCATCAGATCCGACCGAACAGCCAACAGGGTCGGCGAGGTGGTCAGCTGGAGCGGGGGGCTGGCTTGGTCAGGCTCGGTAGGTGTCCAAGTTACGCATTCAATCGCTACCCACGCTCAGCATCGGCAGGATCAGCATCAGCAGAAGAGGCATCGTCCGCCGGGCGTCATCAGAT